CAATGAAGACGTCATGAAGCGTTCCATCCGCGCGTAGTCTGTGTGTAATGGCGACGCTTCGACAACGGCGTTCGGGGTGAGAGCACGTTTCTCAACAGCGAAGATGGCCTTCCCAGGCAGAAAAAAGGCAGTAAAGACATTTATTTCTAGAGCTTCACCTATCAAAAGGCGAATCCCTCTGCGCTGATATTTGTTACTGGTCATTACGCAACACTGGGTGTAGTGACGTTCACGTAAATATGCGATTGTTTACTTGCTTTATGACTGGAATGCACGGTCGTTGTTCGTGCGATGTTGAAACTGTCAGTAGCTGCCTTAATGCAACGTAAAAACCACAGCTTATGTTTGTTTGTTACTAACCTAACTGCAATAAGTACAAGCAATCTACACACACACACACACACCACACACACACACACACACACATATATATATATATATATATATATATATATATATATATATATATATATATATATATATATATATATATATATATATATGACTGACGAAGGTTGGCAAACCAGCCGAAATGTATGTGATAATTAAAAGTGTTTCGTCGTACGTCGTGCTGTCTCGCTTCCGTTTTTACTACGGAGCCAGTGCGCTTCCTTCCTCGCTACGTCTATATATATATATATATATATATATATATAGACGGAATATATATATATATATAGACGGAATCTGTGTGCTGTGTATACGCATGTATATAATTCCGCCACAGCACATTTCGTCGATTTTTTACTTACTTCACAGGTTTCTTCTTCGTAATGTTTACATAGCTTTTTTTTTCGTATTCACCCTTATTTGCTCGTAGGAAAAAAACTACCTGCCGCTTTCGAATGTCGACATTCGCCTGACTAATACTGTAAGCACATCATCATCATCATCATCATCATCATCATCATCATCCCACTGCAAGGCAAAGGCCTCTCCCATGATTCACCAGTCAACCTGGTCTTGTGCTTTCTGCTACCACGTTATACCTGCTAACTTTTTATTCTCCTCTGCCAACCTAACTTTCTGTCTCCCCTTCGTGCGTTCGCCTTCTCTGGGAAGGCAAACGCACGAAGTTATCCTTAATGACCAGCGGTTATCCTGCCTACGTGCTACGTGCTCGGCCTATATCGATTTCTTGTTCTTGGTACCAATTATGATATCCTTAACTCCGGTTTGTTCCTTGACCGACTCTGCTTTCTTCTTGTCTCATAAGATTACACTTATGATTTTCCTTTTCGTCACTCGCTGTGTCGTCCTCAATTTAAGCTCAACTCTCTTTGTAAGTCTCCAGGTGTCTGCTCCGTAGCTAAGTACCGGCAAGATACAGCTGTTATATACCTTCCTCTTGAGGGATAGTGGCAATCTACCTGTCATGATTTGACGGTGCTTGCCAAATGAGCTCCACCCCATTCTTATTTCTCTAGTTACTTCAATCTCGTGGTTCGGCTCCGCGCTTATTACCTGTCCTAAGTAGACATAGTCGTTTACTACTTCCAGCATCTCTTAATCTATCGCAAAATTATGTCTTCTGCCGAGAATTTTGCACATTAGTCTGGATTTGTGCATATTAATTTTCAGATCAACTCCTCTTTTTTGTGTCCATTTCAGTAATCACGAGCTGTAATTAGTCCCTGAGTTACCCATCAAGGCTATGTCATTAGCGAATCACAGGTTACTAAGATCGAAGTTTATAAATAAAAACAATATACGTGTGCTAACATTTCAAATAATCAAATGCCTTATTTATATACATTGTAGATGAATTATTAGAATTTTAGAAATGTAACAAGGTATTATACAGGCGTAAATGTTGCCAGCGACCTAAATTGCTTTTCATTGGTCGGTAATCTGTCGGAAGAGAAGTACCTCGAGAAAAAAAAAGGCTTGTTTGTCATTGTGAGAGAGTATTTTAACAATAAATTTTCCTCCGTTGAAGAACTCGTACAATTAGTCTAAATAATAATCGTATATACCTGTAATGAAGCTTATACAGACGTGTTGATTGAAAGATGAATAAATATATTTTTGAGAAATGTTTGAGAAGCATTATAAACATAACATAAAGATGATTAATCAAGCGCGAGTAATGGAACCCACGTGTTTCGGTAAGTATATGTATAGGCTATTTGTTAAACATTAGTCCAGGCAGCAGATAGATATTATACATCAGCCCTTGACACTGTTGATTTCATTAAATCAATTAGATAAGGGGACAGATATTCCAGCATAGCGAAATACTCTCGGGACCATCAAAGCCATCGATCCTGCTGCTAATTCATTGGAAGCGAGATATGGTAGCAAATTTTATATGGGCATGAGAAAAGAACACCTCGTAATATTGATACCGGTACTATCTTTTGTGTCTTAAATCTATAATAATAGAAGTGCTCCTTTCTCATGAATGGACCAACACACGCCTAATATTTATCTTTTCTCCGATGATACGTGAGAACATTTGTTCTGGCTTCATGGATAATAACAATTAGAATCAACGGACGAAAAAGCCAGTGCATTCTTCGTTATCTGCTTCCCGTTGTTAGTCTATTGAGCCCCACATGCGGTAGAATTCTGTTGTTGATGCTCCTACAATACTGATTTTTGTGCGTGTTTACTGTGCGTGTTAAAATGAGGCTTTTAACGCCGGTCAGAGTTTCTGCAGTTCCTGCGAACAAGGTTGTGCTGCAGTACTATGCAGTGCTGTGGCAAAGCCTAACGCGTTTGCGCTGCGGTTTTTATTGTTATGTCTCACGTGAACTTCGCACTCATTTCTTCATTGTCCTCACATACCCATTTTACGCAAAGCGCGAATACTATAACGATACGCGAAATTAGTGCTACCGAGCCAGTTCAGGAATAGAGAAAAATTTTCACTCATCAATAAAGTTGTTACCAACCAAACTCAAGGCACTGGCGATCATTACCGCAAATTTATTCTCCTAAAGCCAGCAATCTGTTACATTAATCTCCTGATAAATGCCTTCAGTGAATTTTCATTTCCGTCAGGAGTAGCTTGTTGTGTTTAGTCCATTCCTCTTGATAGCGAATTCCTTGCTTCTGGCATCGTCCTCTTAATGATGCAACAGTCCTCAAGGTTATCAATATTAAAATGATTTTTGAGACTTCACATGTTAAAAACAGGATATGATTATGACGAAAGTCATCGTGAAAAGTTCTTCAAATCTCAACCTGCCGTTTTTTGTTTTTTTTACGCGCAGCTAAGTGCACGGACCTCAAACATTTATATGTCCATATGTTCATGAAAATTGCGACCGCCGTGGCTGGGGTGGAATTAACCCGCAATTTTTGGTCAGTAGTCGTGCAGTGTAACCACTCTACCACCTTTTGGTTATGAAAATGGATCAGTTTTGTTCGAAAAGAGTAAAAACGCAAAGCCTCACGCTCGACAAGCAGAGTTTCGCTGACAAGAATAGTTTGTCAATTCGTTCTATACTCCTTCCTACCGTTCGATATGTTCCCGCTTCGGACCATTCAGATTTCAGGACAGATGGCTCCCGTTTCGAAAAGAAACGAATATAAAGGCTATTTCTGCATTTGAAGCATTACGATCGATCAATGGCTTTTGCCAAACAAGGATCGTCATGGAATGATCATATTTCTTAAATGTGGCGTAACAGAAGCAGCTGTGAAAAAATTAACATACAGTATCGCATCTTCTCTGCCCTGGTACGAGGGATCACATCCACAATTTCCACATATGGCTGAAATAAAGCAAGTTCAGCGTTCCATTTTACATGTATATATAGAGTACATATAATGTTCAAGCTATATGTTGAACTAATGGTCAACTAATGTTCAAACTGTTGTCCTACGACACGAAAACATTACGCAACAAAGCCTGTTTTGATCTTCATAAACTTCCAATCCTACCCTTGTTCCTAATCGATTATTGAGGTTCTCTGTCACACAAGTTCGACAAGCATCAGCAAAAGTTTGGTGTAGTGTTGCATAATCACTTAAGCTTCAGCATGCTTCTTCTTCGTTTTTATAGCGAAAGATGTTATGGGATCACACAACACGGCTATCGTACGCGGTAGTTGTCCGCCGCCGCCAGTGTCCGTAACCACTCTCTCGCAGAGCGAGAAAGAAACTGAGTAAATAAAAAAAATCACAGCATATCCACGGAGTGAATGATAATGAGTGGGGCGAAGCGTCCATCCGTCCGTGCATGCGTCCGATCGCGTTCGAGAACGCAGACGGTGCGCGGGTAACACCGACGAGACGCGAGCCAATGAAGCCGAGCGCGAGCGTCATTCAACGCGCCAGCCGCTCTGCTCCGTCCGTGGCCCACCAACGATCCGCCACGTACGGCGACTATTCAGGAGACTGCCTCGAGGGCCGCATGCTGCCGAACCATGCTACAAAGCATAAAGCACTATAACATGTTCTCCATGAATCATTATCGATGGTTTCTTTTCAGCAGCGCTATCTTTGGTATGTACTGTCGTTGCCAAAGAGAGATGAAATATCACTCATGACGTTAACCTCTGTTGCCACACGCCCTAAAAATAAAAAAGACAGCGTTGCGAGCAGACTCGTGGAAACAAAAGCAGAAAATCTCTCAGTTGTAAACAAAGAAAGTGTGATTACAAGATTGAGAGAGAGAGAACATAAGGAGAAAGGCAGGGAGGGTAACTAGGGCTGAACCCCGGTAGGCTACCCTGCACTGGGGAAGGGAAGAAGGGGAAGGAAACAAGCTTGTGGTGTACATACAACTATATGGCTATTATCAACAGTTAGATCATTTTGAAATGGCGAGATATATTTGCAACATGTGTGAAGATCAAAAGGCGCGTATGTTGCTCACTTCGGGTGCACATACTATTTAGCACTTATAATCTGACTCTCACATGTTATATACACCGATCAAAGCAACAAACTCGCAAGCACTGCGCCACGACCTCTTAAGTGGTTTTATGGGGGTACGTTATGCATATTCAGTGTACCTTACACTGTCTTTTTTCTCTTTTTTTTTGCAGATGACGTTATAACAGCATCTTCTGGACCAGGAATGCATGTCCACCCAGCTGTGATGACGTGGGAAGTTGTTTTTCGTGCTTAAACATTAAAGTTAGTATAAACGACAATTCTTAAATATTTCACAAACACTGCGTATGCATTCCTTCTCTGTTTTCTTCGTGTGTGCGTGCGTGCGTGCGCGCGCGCGCGCGCGCGTGTGTGTGTGTGTGTGTGTGTGTGTGTGTGTGTGTGTGTGTGTGTGTGTGTGTGTGTGCGTGTGTGTGCGCTGCGTATGTGCATGCGTGTGTTTTTAGTAACAGTTGAGCAGAAGATTATATACCTGCTTTAGTCTTAAAACGGTGAAGCTGGTGCAAACGTAAGTATTCCTACGACCTTGCAGCGCTGCAGATTATTATTTCCACACGAGGATGCCGCCCCACTAATTGAGTTTTTCAAATTTTGACACAAATAAAGTTCGCGCGTTGCATTTATGCTGCCACAAGATTTACTATCACCGTATTGTTACCGTTTGCATGAAAACATGCCTGGCTTTAAGCGATGTTATATAGCTGTAGTTATACAGACAAGGCTGATCACGAGTGACGTGTACAATACACGTGTGACGTGTATTCTGGAGGCAAGGGGCACAGTCGCTTCGTGAGCATGGTTTATATGGAGCTAATAAGAAGCGAAATATTAGCCGATATAGATTCATCGCTGCAGCCAGTCACACTTTGCTGTTCGCATAATGTTGATGCACATATCGAAAGACGATTGCAAAGAAGGAATATTTAGACGTCGTGTAAGTAACTCACAAAATGTCAGACACAAGTAAACCATACACAGGACAGGTGACTGCAGCACATGCTGTTGAGCCATGCATACATGTAGTGATGCCAAGACGGAAATCGTGGCGATGCATTCCACGTCACCATGGTTAGCTATACAATATATATGTCACCGTCAATTATCTCTCCTTCTTTCTCAAGCATTAATTGGTTATATCTAGGGCTTCATGTCCTCGGATATATCCGAAAAAAAAATCCGATTATCACACATCGGTGAAATGTTTGATATATCGTATTTCCCCGATTAACTCCGATTTTAAACGGGCATTTTCAACGTTCAGAGGCCATTTTCAAAGCGGACAATCGTCAATCGAAAGGAGTACACCTCCATTAATGTCAGCAACCTCGCAAAGTATGCGTGCATCTATTGCAATAAGTATTTGTGTGAGGTCACTTAGCCATAGTTATATCTAATCTACACAGATAAGATCTAATTCTGCAAAGCTGGCTGCCCACGCTGCAATCCTCGTCTCAGCGCTCACGTGCTGATGTAATTTAGAGCGTACTCTCACGCGCTATGTAGTACACAATGTGCCAAAAGACCAGGAAGCAAAGGGCTGGAACGTATCACCCTTCCGAGTGCCTTTGCGATTCTCTGTTATCTTATCACTAAACTGCAAACAATTTGGGCCGCCAGTCTTCTTTATCAGATCTGAGCACACGGAAGAGAAGCATTCACTGTTTGCGGGATGATACCTCGTCCCCCTTCTCTTCCGACACACTCGCTTCTTTTCTTTCGTGAAGATGTGCGTGTATGCTCGTATGTGGGCATCTAGCTTGCACCTTTACGTCATCTTCCGAAGAGTGCCATCATAAAGCAGTTTCGCAATGAGGGAGAACTCTGTATTGTAGTTGTAGGGTTCTACAACTTGCGACATACGTGTCCTGTTAAATAATAGATGAGCGAATAAAGAAAAAAATGAGACAATACAGAGAAACGGTGGCTAAATGTATACAAAGAAGCATTGTCTGCAAAAAAAAATATTGGACAAGAAAAAAGCGGGATGATGGGTGTGCGGGAGAGAGATGATATCGAGCGGAAAGGCAGGAGACCTGCCTGGTGGTATCATGTAAGCGTGAATACTAACGGGACGACATAACAGATGCCCTACAACACACGCCCCTCGATCGACATGCAGAATTGGTGTGATTAGAGGTAAGTACGGCCCCAAACTAAGATGTCCTCTCTCTACGGTGAGCGGAGAAAAATGCTTTGGTTGAAATATACGATCAAATATTACGGGCTAAAAATAAGATGTGTTTACAAATGGATGTCGCACAAATATACTTGGCTCCAAATCATTTTTTTCTATATGTACAACTTCGTTTCTTTGAGAGAGAAATCAGGGTGACAGGAAGACTAACCCGTTCGCACATAGATTTTTACAGGTTTTTGTTTGTTTGTTTGTTTGTTTGTTTGTTTGTTTGTTTAAGTTGTCGCGTCCATATATGATAGCAGGAGCTGTGTACGGAGGATTCGTGGGTTACCCGATCATCTCCAAGCATACTATCTCAGGATGATGTGTAGGAGGAACAAGTACCCACGTAGAGGTAGCCACAATAGTTTCATCTAAAAAAGCACTGATGCACTTTTCAACCGTGAAATCCTCAGCTGTCCAGCAGAGTGTTATGCCGGAAAAGGTCAATGAGCCCTTGGACACAGTTACTCAATTCATGACCCCTTGATACAGAGCGAGAGAGAGAGAGAGAGATGATTCATTAGAAGGCAGAGTCGCCGGCCTATATAATCTCTACGTTCTTACATGCACAAGTTCAGCAAATGATTATTGCATACTGATTTACTTGCTAAATAAGCAAAAAAGGTAGCATTCAAATAAGCAGTAATGCAAGTAAAAGGGCTCGAATTTAATTCCAATCACTGATGCTAGCTGTTCTCAATTCAGCGAACTTCCACTCTAACAAACTTTTTTCTAGGGTCCATGAAGTTCGTTCGAATCAAGCTTCGCAGTACTTGAAAAACAGGTACGCATATATTTAAGCTGCATTCCAACAGAACGGGTTATAAGACGAGGAGAAAAGAGAAACGAACCGAAACCGACGGAAAAGGCGGAAGAAAACAAAGTACCCAAAGTGGTTCATGAGTTTCGCTGGTGCGGAAGACTGGGCGCGTCAGCCATGCGTCAATAACTTGCGAAGTTGCACGTTGCACCGCATGACAGGTGCGTGAATTGTGTAAAATGCCAGACAACTAGGAATGCTTTATTCAGCCCACAACCACTTGATTCACACAATGACGACGATCCGCCTCGTAGCACTTATAGCTAAAAGTAAAATTATGCCAATTGGTTCTTGCACACTGGCTCTCTTCGTAGTGAACTATAGCTGACAGGGAAGCAAGAGCGGTGGTATACAACAACCCCAAAGACGTCAAAGTACCGTATTCGCGAAGTGACGTCGTCAACACATTGTTGCGATCACTCACGCTCGAATACACGGACACTTATCGGCCGCAACCAGATGATCGGAACAAGCGCCTGTGCATGGGAAAAAGACCCCGATATGACTTTCGCCTTCCGACTAAAATTAGCCGAAGACATGCTATAGAGCGCTGCATCAGATTCTTCTGGGCATTGCCTTTCGCTCAGCTAATCGACCTTGTGGACAGCCCGAACTAGGAGCGCTGCCAAGTGCGCGAAACTTTAGCTCATATATTTTGTGACTGCCCGTTACACGTGGCGCAAAGGAAGATGCTAATTTCAAATCGGACGAACACCACTTACTGAAAGTTGCGTTTTGTCAACAATGTGCGACCAGAAGGTGTCATGAACTACAAAGGCTCTTCTAGATTTTATCAAACTGCACTGGACTGGATACTATGCGGTGTATAGGATTCTGTGCTAAGTAGCCACAGCTATAGCCTCCTATATTTTTCTTGCCTGCCGGATAAGCGCGAAACGCCTGTCATCTATGGCGGCGCCACCTACGCAGGGTTAAGGGTCCTTGTACTTGGCCTTTGAGATGAGCAATTTTGGCGTTCGCTAATTTCAGAGGCTATGCTTTGTATTGAAGGGGTTGCCTGTTGAATGAGTGCAAAACGCTCGTCATTTATGGCGGCGTCACTTACGTGGGGTTAACTATAAATAATTATTACTTTGTTTACGCTTTTTGAAACTTTTTACGGTATTTTTGTTGCATATAAGCTCCAAAGACGTAAAAACTTATTTGAAGTACAACCTACTTAAGTGGCGCCACCACTGCAGTTCCGACGACGGCCGCTTCTCAAGTGACTGCTGATAATCCGGCAGGCAAGGTAAATCTAGGAGTCTGTGCCACACTGCAGAATATACGCACCACCTCTTCCTGTCCGCATCATCAACCTTCAACCTCTTTCTTTTAGAGGCAAAGCTCCTTATGGTGTGGGTCAATCCCTCCTTCACTTGTATGCAGTATGTATGTAGCCACCTCTACTTTATGAATTGCTCACTAGTTGGCGTTGTGTGTATATGTTCTTGAAAATATTATCACTAGATTGCGTTACGGTTTTCGTGTGGTTGTCGATTAAAAATCTTAGATGGCACTGTTATAATAGGAAATTCACAGCATATACACGCAGTGAATGATGATGTGTGGGGCGAAGCGTCCGTCAGTCCATCCGTGCGACGCGTTCTCTAGTGTGATAGTAACGTATGGAGGGACGGACAGACAGACAGATGCTTCGCCCACTCATCATCATTCACTCCGTGGATGTGCTGTGAATTTTCCCCCTTCCCTTAACCGCTGTGTATAAAGCAGTAGGCTAGTATAAAGCAGCAGGCTATAGCTCAAGCCAAGCTATCTGCCTTTCAATAAATTCTCACTGTCTCTATATTTATCTCAATGCCTATCACTTTTCGTGACATTTATTTCTATAGTGCTTATGGAATCTGGTGTATTTTGAAGCATGAGAAGTTTTTTAGCTCTCATTCTTGGACCCTTTCAAGTATAACCTTGAGCGAAAAGCCACAGCCGTTGTCCGGGCACTAAAATGAGACCATCTGGGTATCATTGCGATTACAAACGCGGCCGGTATTGAGCCCGCCACTTTGGAGTATGCATCCAAAGACCACAACCACTGTATACCATTGCTGCGGCCCCACGAACGCTATATAGAACCACCTAGTCAATATTGAGGCCTACATGTAATTAACAGGACCGGCAAGTGGCTCTTAGTATGGAATACGGCATTTTTTTTTCTTATGTGGTTCTTAAAGCGAAAAGAACAGTAGGCCCCGTAACTATCTGCATCAGGTGCGACACCTCAACAGTAGCTCACAAGGGATGGGGGTAAGGAGGGCTTAAAAGGA